TAAGTCAAATAAATCAGACTCACATGCGTAAACATCATATTGTCCTCCTAGTGTAAGAAAGAGTAAATAAAATCTGAAAGGTACAATAGATAGTGTGAAAGGGAGAGAAACTGCTCAAAAGGAAAGAAAAACTGAAATAGGGGAAAGGAGAAAACGGAAGGGGAAAATAATACACACACACACACACACGCACACATGATAGCTAAGATAATGATACTGCTAATTTCTATCAGTCTATTGAAAGGAACAGTTAATGTTTATTTGATCAATTTTGCATGCCTGTATCTGGTAATCTAAACAACTACTTTGAAGATAACAATATGTACTATAACAACCAGTGTTAATTTCCTATCGTCTTGTTTTGAAATGCTGTCATTTAAAAAAAAATTGGGGGGGCTAGGGATTTAGCTTAGTGGCACAGCACCTGCCTGGCAAGTACAGGGTCGTGAGTTCGATTCCCAGTACCGGAAAAACAAAACAAAACAAAACAAAAAAAGGGGGCTGGGGATTGAGCTCAGTGGCAAAGTGCCTGCCTGGCAAGCGCAAGGTTGTGAGTTCATTCCTGGTACCGGAAGAAAAACAAAACAAAGAAAAGTTTCAGTCTCATTTTAAAAAAAATTTATTCTCTTTAAAATAAAAAAGTCATTTCCACACAAACTGAAGTATAATTGAAAGGGGCTTACTATAAATAACCTCAGTAATTCAATTTCCACAGATTTTAGAAGCTCTATTCCAACCAAAAATTGTGAGAAATTTAGCATTATTATCACCTACTCTCTCTGACTTTGGACTGTTTCCAGTAGGCACCATGGATTTATTCAACAAATATGTAAGTGCCTGATAATGTACTTGCAGCTTTCTAGGTAATGTTAAGAGACAAGATCTCTGCCCTCTATAGTAAACTGGGAAACTAGATGAGACAGCAAAAGATACATAACTAGACAAGAATAACAAATAATTCTCTTGGTATTGTATGCTCTGTAAGTTTTGACAAATACATAATGATGTATATCAACCATTGTAGTAGTATGCAGAATAATTTCATTGCCTTAAAAATCCTCTCTGCTTTACCTAGTCATTCTTCCTTCTCTGAACCCCTCAAAACCACTCATCTTTTTATTGTCTCCATAGTTTTTACCTTTTCTTGAATGTCATATATCATAGCTGGAGTTTTATAATATGCAACCTTTTCACTTAAGAAGATGCATTCAGGTTTCCTCCATGTCTTTTCCTGGCTCGATAGCTCATTTCTTTTTTAGTATTTATTAATATTTCATTGTCTCTTGTTCCACAGTTTATCCATTCATGTATTGAATACCTTGGATATTCTCAAGTTTTGGCAGTAATGCAGAAAGCTGCCATAAACATTTGTATGGGTTTTTATATGGACATAAGTTTTTAACCTCTTGTGGGCAAAGACCAAGGAGCATGATTGGTTGGTTATAGTGTAGAAGGATGTTTAAGAAATTTCCAAATTGTCCTCCAAGGTAGACATCGTTTTGCCCTTCTACCAGTGAATGAGAGTTCTGTTGTTCCACATTCTAGCTAGTATTTAGTGTTGTCGGTGTTCTGGATTTAAGCTTTTCTGATAGGCATATAGTGATATCTCATTGTTTTAATATGCATTATTCTGGTAACAAATGATTGTGGACCATCTTTTCATATGTTTATTGACATAGGCATTATACTTTAGAGGAGCTTTAATTTCACAGCAAAATTGAGGGGGAAATATAGTATTCTTATGTGTGGTGGATTGACAACTCGTGGTCAACTTACAACACCCACCTGAACTGAACCAGTGTGGTGCTGGATGTGGGAGGTGTACCTGAGGATTGTTGCCAGCAGGTATAAAAGGCAGAACTGGAGAAAAGGCTATTAGAGGTGTTGGGAAGCTGTTGGAAGCTCTTTGGTAGCTGTAGGGAGCTGTTGGTTTTCCTAGAGGAGTTTGTCCTGCTGGGTTTGCTGATGAACATGGCTGTTCTCATTGGAGGAGGAGCTCAGGACCTCATTGTGGCTGAGAATGGCTGTGCTTCACTTTAGGGGAGCGCTGGTCCTCACTTTGAGCATCGCTT